ACAATCCCACTCCCACTCCCACTCCCACTCCCGCTCCCACTCCCTTGCCAGTCCCAACTCTCCCATCCTCCACTCGTACTCTCCTCCCAACTATAAGTCAACATACTATTCCCCGCCCCCTCTGAATCATAACTCCAGTTATTCGACAACCTACTCCCCTGACTCTCCTGCGACCTCGGTCCAATCCCCTGCCAATTACTACCACTATACGTCAAAACCTCATCAATACTCGGCATATGACTCAATCTCTGCCCCCCTACTCCCCCAGCCCCCGCCAAAACAGCCTTATTCATAAACGGCCACCCTAGGTCACTAATATCCACCCCCTGCTCAAAGTCACTTTCGCTTCCAACAACAGTACTATTCCCAACACTAACATCACTCCACGGCCTCCTCAACCCCTCCTCTTGCAACCCCCCGTTGCCCTTCGCCATCACATCCTCCAGTTCAGCTTTACCCCCATCCAAAACCTCCAATCCCCTGCCCCTTTCCACATCATCCCCTCTCCCTTTCTCAGTATCCTCCTCCCCAACCCTAATAGAACTAATCCTACTCACGCTACTAATCCTCTTCAGATGAGGCGGCATAGTATGCCGGCTCGCCACAACAGTAGTCGTGTTCCCAAAACTAGACGTGGTCCCTCTCGACGCCATGTCCCTCGACCAACCACCACCACCACCACCACCCAACAACCCGCCGCCGCCCCCCCTGCCCCTCCTACCCAGCAGCACCCTAATCGCAGGAAGAGAAGTAACAATAATGCTAACCCCCACCTCCAACCCAGTCCAGATCAACGCATTCGTATAATCCCACGTCGGATTAACACTATCCCCAAAATCATACAAAGCCCACAACCTCACACAGCTCGTAATAAGCGCAAAAATCCCAAGCGAGAACATGACGATGATGCAGATTTTGGACCGGACATTCACATTTAGTTTGATCAACAGCGGAAGCGGCATGACAAGGATGACAATGTCCTGCGCGATGCTGAACGCGGCGGTGGTGTACCCCAGCGCGTTGATGTCGAGGCAGGAAAAGGGGCCGAATTCACCTTTTCGCCAGCCTTCCCAGATGAAGGAGATGGGGGCGCACTGGAAGATTTGACAGAAAACAAAGATCAGGCCCGAGAGGCCAACCCAGGTCATGACGACGAGGGTGATGGTGCGGAAGTGGGGTTGGGGGAAGATGCGGAGGTAGAAGCAGAGGATGGAGATTTTGGTGAGGGCTAGGATGACGAGGTAGAAGGTTTCGGCCATGTAGAAGAGCTGTTTTCCCTCACGGTGTCAGCTTGATGTGGGGTCGTGGGATTGAAAGGAGATAACATACCTTGAGGGCGGTGCCGAGGGCGTTGGCGTCGACGGTCCAGATGTCCACTCCGAAGGCGGCGCCGGCGGCGGTGCAGCCTACGGCTTCGAAGCCGATGTAGAGTCCCTTTTTGTTTTGTCAGTCATGAGGGAATGGACAACGAAACGGAGGGGGGGATGTTTACCACAACAATCATCATAACCCAATCGTCCACCTCGAATTTCCCGCCCATCCACCACCGTGAGTACAACCGGAGCAAAACACACACCAAAGCCAGTATCTCAACCGACAGCGGCACCAGCAGGTGTATCTTTCGGGATCGTTGAGGCTTCCCGCAGGCTTCCCAGGCGCCGCGGGCAGTCTCTTGTTGTTGTTGTCGTTGTCAGTGCGAGCACGAGCGAGCAGCGAGGTATCAGCCGAGCCAAGTAGACCATCAGCCGAGCCAAACAAAAGAAGCCAAAGTGAACAAAACACTAGAAAGGGGAAGAAAACTAACCAATACCCTCCTCCATCGTACACCGCCTCCTTACACACCCCAACACCCTCGTATAATGACCCTCATCATCCGAGCACAAGCACACCTGATCCTCCTCCCCCATCCCTCTCTTCCCATCCAGACACTCTTTCGTCACATTGGTAAGCTCCACCACACAACCCAGCGCGCACAAGGGTATGTTCTCGCTCAGCTGAGCGATCAGGTCTGTTGTTGTTGTTGTTGTTGTTGTTGTTGTTGTTGTTGTGTTGGGTGGTGATAAGTCTTGGGGTTGTTGTCCAGAGACAACAATATCTGTCTGTGAGAGGAAGCTCGATGGTGGAAGGGGCCGGGGTGGTGCTGATATTGGGAGGAGTTGATGGAGTAATGCTCGTGGTAGGGACTGCGGCCGGGGTTGGTGTTGAGGGAAAAAAGAATGTGGGAGAAACTGGGGGGTTGCTTCGCTGGGGGCCGGGAGGATAAGAAACGTTAGTAATAGAAAAGAGGAGGGTATTGAAAGCAAGGGAGAGGTTGGTAGTGGTTTCATCTTGGATACCTAGGTAGGTATGTCCAGTCATTAGCCTTTACATGAAAAGGTTGAAGAACTTGGCCAAGAGAAAAAGACAGACAGCACGACGGCGAAAAAAAGACATGACAGCATGACGGCGAAACAAAGACATGACAGAGAGAGAGAGAGAGAGAGAGAGAGAGAGAGAGAGAGACAGAGAGAGAGAGAGAGAGAGAGAGAGAGAGAGAGAGAGAGAAAGAGCTAGATTTGCCCAGCTGGGCACACACACCTCCAAAGTCATTCCCCATTACTAAGACACATCTATCGATGACTTAAGGGGCGGTCGAGTTACCCCTTAGTGTGACCTGTCCGGTCGTTTTCAAGGCCAAATTGCAGTCTGACAAGTGTTAGTTGAGCACATTGGTGTTTTTGTTGACGTTGGGCTCTTCCGCGGAGGGTGAGCTGATATCAACACACTGGTGCAAGCTTGATCCATGATAAGATGATGGGTGAGAGAGGTCATCATCATCTTTGCCGTCCGACGATGCAAAGCATCCACAAGAAGAATTTGGGGGATGAAGACACGAGGTCAGTGTGTAAGTCTAAGTCAACCTCCCCCGTTGTCAGTGGAGTCCCCTAAACATCACCGCTCAAAAACGACATTCCTCAGCGAGTCATGCATCCCGTCCACACAGCCCCTTCCTTCCCTTTTCGGCAAGACGGTCCCTTCACCAAGCCCTCTGAATGGACAGACGCCCTCTCCACGCCAAGAAACCACCTCAATGCAACCACAAGAAACCGTCAGCGACTTAGATGCAGCCAAAGCATGGTGATGGTGTCATGTTAGCATCTTCTGTAGATTACCACTCCATAACAACTTTGTTTCCATACTATATCTCCGTCAATGTACAACAAACACCATGCATATAAAACCCTCACCTACATGCTACTTTTCGAATGAAACAAAACAACGCTTTTAGTCCATCAACTCGCACGCATATGCCGCCAAAAGATCCCACAATACAAAAGACAAGACATTCCCAATCCATTTTTTTTGTGGTATACCATTCCCAATCTCCCCAGTCCTCATCCCTCCCACATTAGACATTACGACCCCATCATCGCATCCCAATCCCAGGTCACCGTCCCACCGCCCCAAAGTTCATTGACACTATACCCGAGCTGTTCAAAGTTGACCGGGATCTCCCCCAGCGTGTCCGTGTTGGGGACCCACCAAGGATTTACTGGCATCTCCATACCGTTGTTGTTGCTTCCTGTCGCAATTCCATGCGGGTTCGGTTGCGGCTGTGGTTGTTGTTGAAAAGGAGTCATCCCCTGCGGAAACGAGCCATTCGTCAGCCCCCGATCTCGCACGTTCCGGACATCCCGACCGAATCCCTGAATATGAGAAGTGGTATCCGACGGTGATGAAAATGAGGCACAGACCTTGTCTCTGGAAAAAGGGTCAAATGGTGCTGATGGGCCGCCTCCGGGAGGTGCAGAGAACGGTCCATTATTGACCCTTCTGTGGCCTTGCGATGGCCCGTGTGTAACCGGTCCGCCACGTCCTGGCGTTGCCCCTACTAACGACGGACCAGGTTGAGAGCCCGTCGGCTGGCTCGAAACAGGCGGATCCTGTCCGGCCATCACTTTGTAGTGTAACGTCACGAACCTGTCCGCACTGGCTGCCTTTGCTTCCTGTGAGGTTTTGATCCCTAGGTGAGCCTCCAAAAGCCCAAAGGCAGCACACATAATGCTGTATCCCCAGGGCTCATTGTTCCCGCACCTCAAGATCCGGTCCTCCTTCATGGCCAGGCACTTCTCCAGGGCCTCCACCGTGTGCTTGCTGTTGATCATGATCATATTAGTTGACCCGCGTGGTTGAAGCATGGTGACACTGCAGAGATTGATCGCCAGTGTTAGACTGTCCTCACGGAGAAAGTTGAGTGTGCGAATGCCCTGCTGGAAAAGTTGGTCGTTGAGGAGAACCATATCCCTGGCGGCATTGTAGTAGATAATCTCCGAGTATTGGTACTTGGAGTTTTGTTTGCGAAGACGAAGGAAGGGCTGGTGCAGAGGTATGATGTATTGGCGAAGCTGGATGTGCAAAAGTGTATAGGCAAGCAAAGGCTTCTTCTGAGTTTGCTGTTCGTCCGTATCCTCATTGTCTGCATCGCTTACATCCCATGACGGGAGGGCATCAATCTCGCGGTTGATCTCATCGGTGTAGCGAACGACACGCGCATAGTCGAGATCTTCGGGAGGGCCGGTGAGCACCCGGCTCAGCTCCAGGCGAAGCGGCAAGCTCTGGCGACTGAGATGCTGATAGGAAGAGTACGTGTATGTAGTTGGAGGCTTTGAGGGAGGGAGCTCTTTCGTGTCCTCGTCAAACTCGTCGTCGTCGATGTTATGCGGCGGATTGACATCGTAGTGTAGAGTGCTCAAGATTGACGGCAGGCCGTGGTCAAAGGATGCTTGAAGATCGTAGCTCTGAATAGTCGCCCAGATTCTCCTCCGCATCTCCTGCTGGAAAGGGGTGATCTTGTCACTCCTCATGTGGCTGGGTTCCCGGTGCAAGCCGACAGAGATGGCGTCCTGTGTCATTGCGCCCGCATTTTTCCAATATCTCTTCTTCTTCATTGTGTTGACTCTCTTGGCAAGATAGATGAGGCAGGCGATCTGATAGTGAATCAGGCGGCGATGCTTTTGGCTCTGAACTTCCTGCCAACGTTCAACAGCTTCGATCCATTTGATGGCATTGGCGTAAGAGATCGACACCATCTTTTCGAACTTGTGCGGTAGCTTAGCAGCCAAACAGCTGGCAATGCCCATGATGGACAAGATCAAAGCCGTGAAGGCTGCATTACGAGTCTCGTTAGGGTCCCAGAACTTGGCATAGTCCCTGCGGAAGCTGGGGATGTGGAGGATTCGGTGAATCTGCTCGAACTGGTCCAAGTAAATAGATACCATGTGATCAGCTTCCTCCTTGGAGGGAAGGAGAGCTTCCAGCGCAAGATCTGGTTCACGGAACTTCCTGTCTCGGTCCTCGGCCCTCTTGTGGCGGTCCTTGTTCCGGCTGATCCGGTGTGGTCGAAGCCACTCCTCGGAGGTTTCTTTCATGAAAGGACACAGTCCAGTCAACTTCTCGTCGTTAGCCAACGCATTCCGAGCCAATGGAGAGGAAGAAAGTAAAAGACCGTCACATACTTCTTGGAAGGCCAGGAACGCGCTGTGGGGGCCAAAGTATCGCGTTTTGAACTCCTTGCCCCTGAAGAAGCGTAGCTCTTCTTTGTCGGCCGTTGTTGTCTGGACCCGCAGGAACTGTGGCAGCTCAGGTTCTTCCTTGTCTCTTTCGTCATCTTCGTGATGCTTCGGCTCAGGGGGTGAGTGGTCCTGAAGCGTACTGCCGTCGACAAAAGCGCCGCCCTGTTTATTGGTGAGGAGGTTCCTCAGCTGGGCAACCTCCATCTCCAACCGACGGATCCTGTCAAGATCTCGGCCATCCTTGCGAAAGTAGGGCGACTCTCCTCCGGTACTTGGCAACGACAGTCGAGAGTCCAGACCCGTCAAGGCACCCTGGGAGAGGCCGAGCTTGTTCGGAGGTGCCAGGCCGGGCCGGGTCTCATACTCGCACTTGTCTGATGTACCGGACTGAAGACAGCGGGAGCATGGAAACTCCCGGTCACAGGACAACTTTCTTCGACGGCACTCGAGGCAGGAGAGCCGGACTCTCTGGCGTTTACGGGGCGGAGCGCGATCATCACCATCCTCGTGGGCCTCGGTTCCGCCGGGGCTAACGCTTTGTTCACTCGGATCCGACCGGGGCATGGTGTTTCTCCCGGAGACGGAGGGGGCTATCGGCCGAAGGGAAGGTTCCAAACAAACAAACAAAACAGACCCAGCCGCCACTGACGCTCGGCGCCGTTTTCCCTATCTAAGTTGCAGGCGATAAACAAGGAAGTGGGCTCGAGCATGCGAAACAGAGACAGCAACAAAACGGGCCAGTCGGCGATAAACGCTTTATCAATCAAATCTGATAAGAGAAACCTGTACTGTATGTAAGGTGAGAAAAGCAGCAAGCGAACACGACTGCCAAAACGAAACCTGCAGCAGTATAAATTTTCCCTCTCTCTCTCTCTCGCAAAACCAATGACTAATAACAAGGGCTTTGCTGGTTCAGTCGAAACGACAGGCGATGCTCAGAGAACAAGCAAAACAAATATCAAGTTAAAGATCTCGACGTCCACAGCCATTGAACGGGGGACTCGTCAGCTCCTTCCTCTTCTGACTGTAGAGTTGGTGTGATGTGGTCGTGGTCGTTGGTGATGCGTGTTGAGGAATAAGATTCTCGGAGATCCGACACTTTTCGCCGAGGCTGCCCCTCTTTCTGCCAGCTTCACCTGTTCATCCGATGATTGGCCGACTGAAGCAGAGAGGACTGTGCTTACATAAGGTCAGGATATTCTGTCAATGAGCAGGGAAGTCATCCTCCTGGACCTTGGGTATGAAGAAAGATGGGATGATGACCTCGGAGGAAACATTGCAGCTTTGCAGTGAGTTTCTCTGACCATGTGGAAAGGTCGAAGTCTATGGATTTAAACCAGACTTTTCCAATTGCCTAACGAACCTTCATGTGACAACGGAACAAGACATTGTTCCGAAACTCTGAGGGTTAGGGGTGGATATGGACACTCAACAAAGCAACCACGACGATGAAGACGGAACTATTCATTGTGAGCAAGCCGCACACAAAGAACATTCGTTCTATTGGAGAACCAGACTTTGAATCAGACCCCGATCAATCCGTCCCCATTGTCCCAGAACCACGGGACGGGGCTGGCCGACCAGCGACATATTCGCAGCTTAGTAGAGGCTTGGCAATGGTGTGGTGGGACAAAGACAGAGCTTAGGTCTGAAAGGCCACCGACGCCACCAAACGGTCTGGCCTGGCTCGGCGCACTAGACACGGTGCAACATCGACATTCGGGTTTTTGGGATCGCAAATTCCAGTCGGGTTTGGGCACCTTCGAGAGACGCGATGGCGGTATGATAACATGCGCGCATTATTTTGGATATTTTTGCTTGGATGCGCCTGCTGGGAGGCTGCACGCGCTGCCAGCTTAGTGCCAGGGAAGGCCTTTGATCGTTTGATCACGATATGGCTGGAGAATCAGGTTGGTCCAACAGTCCACACACAACCATTCCACATGTGCTCCATAACATGTTTACTGACCAGTATAATGGTACGTGTAGGACTATGCCAAGGTTGTCTTGGAGCCTAGCATCGCCGACCTGAAGAGGAAGGGCATCTTGCTCACGAGGTTCTATGCGCACACCCATCCATCCCAGCCAAACTACCTGGCCGCCATCGGTGGGGATTATTGGGGCCTCGATCACGATGACATGGTTCATATCCCTGAGAACGTCTCGACAGTGGTGGACTTGCTGGATTACAGGAACATAAGCTGGGCAGGTTACTTTGAGGACATGCCCGGCCCGGGGTACATGGGGAACTATAGTGATGGACAGACTGGGAACGGCACATGGGACTATGTGAGGAAACACAAGTACGAACACGTGGAATCGGGCTTCCTGATGGAGAATGCTAACCTCGTACCAGTCCATTTGTGTCGTATGAAAGCGTCATTATGGAGGGAGAGCGGCTGCTGGCCCTAGACTCCTTCCGTGCCTTCCAAAGGGCCTTCAAGGCAAAGGAGGTTCCCCAATTTGTGTTCATGACCCCCAACATGAGTACGTATTCTTCCATCTCTTCATCACCCGCCGCAGTACAGATCAAAGACTGACATGGCGCAGTGAACGATGGCCACAACACGAGCAACAAGTTTGCTGCTGACTGGGCCCACAAGTTCCTTCAACCTCTTCTGGATCCTAAAGCTTTCGACGAAAATACGTTGATAATGCTTACGTATGACGAATCGGAAGATTACAGCCAGCCTAACCACATCGTCACTTTGCTTCTGGGAAGCGCAATTCCTCCAGCGCTCAAGGGAACAGAAGACAGCACCTTCTACACCCACTTCAGCTTGCTCTCGACCATCCAAAACAACTGGATACTGCCCAATCTCGGCAGGTATGACGTTGGAGCAAATGTGTTTCAGTTTGTTGCAGATGCGTCTGGTTACACCAAGAACAAGGAGCCTGCCAATGCAGCGTCAGTCAACAATTCAATATCATACCCGGGGTTTCTGCACACCGAGCCCACAAACAGACTGGACATCCCAATACCAAACGACAAATTGATTGGCGCCGGTGGGCTTCCGATCCTTGACAAGATCAAGCAGAAATGGGCCGGTAACATCAAGAAGGTGGGGAAGACGCCGTACGACGGCAGCGGGAATGTGCACGATGGCGACAACCCGCCAGTCTACAACCCTCCCAAGGCCAATTGATTAGATAATTGGATACCCAGCATAAGTCTTCCCTTGCAGGTTGTGCTTCTCGTGTGTGCTCCGTGGCTCCTTCCATTTCTACAGTTTCTCCGGCCCTTCACTCGGTCGCTGTCATCGTTCCTTCCCTATGGCAGCACTGCTATCCATGCCCCTTACAATTTTGGGAAGCTGCGGGTGCCAATGAAGGGCCCTGCCGTGCGTCCATGTCATTCATCTTCGGACCTGAACTTCCATCAATCTCGCACACACTTCGGAAGGAAAGCTGCAAGTCGTCCGCAAGAGGGAGGCCCTGGTAATGGCCCCAAGGAACTCTGTTTGCTTCTGCCTCGGCGGGAACATCCCCTCCTGTGTTTCTCAGCAGCCCTCTCGTATCTCTTGACATCTTCAGACCTGCCATTCCATGCATGGCAACCTCTGGGAGACCAGCCCACACCACCACCACCGTTTCTTGGAATACTTTGTAGATCCTACATCTTTGCATGCCCCCCGAGTTGGTGATGCCTGCTGGCCTGTCCGAATCACGTCGCAATCATGGCCGTCTTCTGCTGCTGCACTTCGGCACGGTCGTCCAAAACACGGACAATCGCACCAAGAAGTCCTGAGCCTGTGTTACCTTCACCACCACCCCCTGCTCGCCTCCCCGGACCCCTTACCCTGAATCCAGTCAATCCACTCTCGACTGAGACATCGCCCAGATCGCTCTCATCACTTCAGCCTTCGGTACCTGCCACCATCAGCCCCATCGAACCCATAGAGCTCGGCCAGTTGGTAGTCGAAGACTCGGACAGTGAAGATGAGCCTGACCATCCAGCACCCCACAATAAGAGCACCAGCACCCTCCACCTGGTCCGCACCCGTATCCGCCGTCACCTCTCCCAGGATTCGCTCTCAAAGAAGAAGGCTCGGTCTGCAGTGGGCTTCACCGAGGAGGAGATTCAGCGACGAGCCGAGCTGAAACGTCTTATGCACAAAAGAATCCAGGAGGAGCTCCGGAGTGAAGAAGGGCAAAAATCCACACGGAGTGAAGTCTCCTCTGATCGACACCCTGGCAGTCCCAAGATAGACCTTCTTCCTGGCGGCGGACCGCGGGACAATATCGAGTTTGTTGTTGCCGATGACAGCAGGCCCAACTCACCCGGAATGAACAGTGAAGCACCGGATGCTGGTCAGACTGATCCCGAAGCTCTTGCACCGGTTGCCGCAAACTCCAAAACAGTTCGAGAACAAGGCTCCTTCCCAGAGATGCCAGCATCACCAGATCTTGTGCCTCGGCGGTATCCAAGCACTAGCGAGACCTCCTCAATTGCTTCCTGGCGGCTTTCTTACAGTGCAGGCCAGCTCGACGAACTGGCCAGCTACATTGACCGAGGAGAGCCATCGAGTCATGTAGATGCTGTGCACAGCTCCTCTGCGTTACACCCGGAATCCATCATTCGTCTTCCAACCTCGGGATTGCATCCACCACGCCCTGCCCATTCGTTGTCACGCTCACATTCGTCACCCGCCCGACCGGGCACGCAAGTTACTGAGACCGCATCCGTTGCAGAGCAGTCTCCATTGAGCGTCTGGCTGCGAAGTCAGGGCCTTCGATCTCGTTCTTCCTCGCCTGCAAGATCATCCGAACAAGACTTTGAGCAAGGTGCAAGTGTTCAGCAAGCCGAGGTGGTTTATCTCAGGAGATGGAGCTCTGTTCAAAATTCTGCCGTCCCAGAGGCTGAGAGTCAGAAGCCGGAAATAGTCCACCTCTACGACATGGATATTCATCGCCAGTTGGGAACTCAAACTTTCAACACACCAATGGATTCTCCAACACGATCCCGATCGATGAGAAACAGTGGTGCAAGCGGTTCCTGCGGTGCTCAAACTTCGGGAAGTACAATCCGTCCCTCTTCCGACCCTCCAAGCAAACCTCCAAGCAACAAGTCGACTTTCAACCACTCTGAAGTTATCTTGGCTCCACACGACCCGAATAACCTGGGGACAAAATCATCGTCGGTGTACCCATCAGCTGGACAAAGTGTACAGTTGAGCGCAGGCGCGTCTTCTCTTGATCTTCCGGCGACACTTGGCCCCCACGAGTTACCGCCAGCTTTTACTTTGCCAGGTTTCAAATGTGTGTGAGTCCCATGCTTGTGATTGGCAGTTGCTAACTCTGGACTGACAGGGCTCGATGCTGTGAATAATCCACACCTTGTAGGAGAATCGGTGGAAAGTTCCCACCGAACAACAGGAGAAAACTCGGTCAACAACAGTTTGCCACTTCTGGAAGGACGCTCAGAGCTCCACAGGTCTTCGACAGTTACAAAAGCCGATGCCTCGAGCAGGGTCCGCAAGGAGTCTCAACTGGATACGGTTGAAAAGAGTATCGGATATTTTCATCTTGGCCACGGTGCACCTGCACTTATCGTCAAGAGGTTCCGGAAGGAGGCAGACACACCTCCCCCGGAGCCGGTGAAACACTCTTTTCTGGCACGCCTTCATTTGACCATCCCTAGAAGAACCAAAATAAGCCCACGAAACTTTGACGGTGCTGTCACAGAACAAGAACAGGAGCAGGGGCAGGGACCGAACTGGGAGCCAGAGCCGTCACCACCACCGTTGAGACATTGTCCAGGCGTCAAACGTGGGCGTCCTGACTCTTGGGGAACAGCCATCACCTCACTGTACCACCCTCTAACCCCGATTCTTTCCGAGTATGAAGGCAGTGCAGATGATCTGTGGAGGTTAGGCATACGCGACGAGTCTCCGAAACAACAGACGGAGTCTCGCGGTATCAAAGCCCATCGCCGTGGTTCGAGTTTCCCCGAAAGTCTGAACAAGAGGCTCCAAGCTGTTGCCGATTCGGAGCACAGTGGCGGCTCCTCTGGGTATATGGGTGTTCCGAGTACCGACCCGTCTTGTCGTTTCTCGTCTGCACCGGGCTCGCCGGTCTCTCATACAACTGATTGCGGCTTGTCGTCCATCGCAGAGACGACCGAGACCCCCAAGCGCAGTTCGTCCACAGGCCTCCAAAGCCCAATTTACGATGCATTCAGAACACACTACCCAGCAAGAAGCAGCGATTTCACCCGAGACTGTCCCAGATCCCCACTGGCACAGACAGGCTCCCGACTTCGTGACTCTTCTACTCCTGGCGACCAATCTACCTGCGTCACCCCTGAGCTCGTTGCGGACCACCCGGAAATCGTGATTGAAGCCGCACGCCAACCCCACAAAAACGACTCCCGCCTTACTCTCAAGTCGAGCACCCAGTCCTTCTCTGGGAAGTTTGGGAAAGCCATCAAGTCAAGTTTTGGAAAGCTCGTCCCCCACCGCGGGCCCTCCAACAGCACTGGTTCGAAGTCGCTGGAAAGCCTCAAAAGGCGAGGAAGCGGAGCCAGAGCAGAGGTTGTGAAACTTCAAAAGTCACAAGACGTAGGAGTTTCATGCCGGGGCCCGAAGTATTGGCAGACAAATACGCCAAAAAGGGGTCGCACGATTTCTCTCAGCACACGGATGGCGACCTTGTTGCATTCTGACTCGAATCCCGAAGAGGAGAAGCGACAGCATCCTAGCCATCACCAGCTCCGGCATCGTGCACCTCTTTGTGCACTGCCTATAAATACACCTATTCGAGATCAACAAGCCAGCAGTAGCGCAGACAACAGCAAAGACTCGGCGACGACAGCCGAAAAGTTTATTACGCCATTCAGCTCATTTTATCACAGCAACAATGATACGGCATCGTTTCACTCTTGTCATGATAAAGGGGATACTACGGATATCAATTCCATCAAAAGCGATAGCACACTGGCTCATCGACTGCATATTGCCTCGGCGCCTCACTTGAGTGCGCTGCCGGCGGGAGCGGCCAAGTTCCAGACTTGGAGTGGGAGGGAGAGGAGCAGGCCGCTGATTACGGTGCAGAGCATGGAGCAGATGCGGTTGAGGAGGGTGAATACGGTGGTGAGAGTTGTGTGATGTGTGTGTTGAGGGAACTGGTGAAGGGTGACAGTGTGTGGTCAAGAATGGTCAGCGGGTGCTTGAGTGAGCAACAAGGCAGATTTTGTTTTTGGTTGTTTATGATGGGGGTTTATGAAGGACAGCTTTTTTTTTTTTCGCATGGTGGGCTGTTTTGGTAGGTGCATGTCTATACTATTTCAGCTCTTATAACGCCGACCTCAAGGACGCAGCAAAAAGGGGGGGGGGGGGGAGGAAGAAGGCCGGACATGTATGGTTAGAGTTGTGGTATATTAGGGGATATGAAGGGGGGTGGTTATGGTTATTTATTGGGCAGTTGTAAAAGACGGGAGTGTAGGTATAGTTTATGTAGCTGTGACAAGGGGTGGAGGAGTGTTGTTAATAGAGTACATATTGGTTGACGATGGGTTGTATTGTCTGGGTGACTGTTCGGTGGTGATCGATATGGCACGATCAATGTTGACAAGGCATGATCTAAAGCTGGAGACTGGGTCTTGCGAGCGTGTCGTTCAGTTGGGACATGCAATCAGACACATTTATGGAGACAAAAGTAAGCCGAAAGAAGCCCATCATAATTCATTACTATTACAACCAAAACTATCTCTCACTCACTCTCTACTTGACCTTACTCATAATCGTCTCCGGCCCCCTAACCACATCCATCTGCGCGGCCCTCGCCTTGACGGCATTCAGCATACTCCTCTCAAAGTCATCCCTGCTCCTCAACACGGCCTCGACCCAGCTGATCTGCAAGTCCCAATACGACGTCTTGAAGCCCGCAAACGTGTCCGGGATCTGTTCCTTTTCCGCAGTCAGCAGGCCCAGAAACGCCTCCGTGACCCTCCACGTCTCCTTGATGGCGTTGCCCACTTCCGGGTTGGGAAGGGAATTAAAAAACTCGAACGCGGTAGACAAGTCGTCAAAGATCTTGTCCTGAAAGTTATCCACCCTCCTAAACTTGGCGCCCTTGTTCCTGACCGAGCCGAGGTACCGGACGAGGAGCTCGTCGGCAAAGATTTCGATAAAAATGTCAACGAGCGAGTGGTGCAGCACCATCCTGTAGTCCGAGACGTACTCCTCAAACGTGGCGATCATGCGCGCCATGTGGGTGGTGGTGTACCACTTTGGCGTGAAAAAGTCAGGCATGACAGTCCTAAAGTCAACGGAAAAGACCAGGCTGGCAAACTTGGCCATGCACCACGTGGACAAGTCAACGTAGCCGTCCCGTAGGGTGGTGACTTCTGCTTCGGCGCGGTCCATGTACTGGGGCGTGACGAGGGGAGAAAACTTTTTCCTAAAGTCCGAGAGGTAGGCCAGCCGGCCTTCTTCCTCGTTGTCGTCTATGCAGGCTATCTGGTCGTTCGCCGTGGCCACAAGCCAGTCCTGCAGCGGTTGGAACCCCTCCAGGTCGCCCGTGGTGGAGTTTTCGTACCGTGCAGACTCGTCGTCGAGCATCTTCTGCCAGGCCTGCTGGCGTTGGCGTAGGCGTTGGAACATGGCGTCGACTACACCCTCGACCACATCCGCTCGCTTGGAGTTGGCTGCTGCTTCGAGTTGTTCCCTCAGCATGCGCCAGAGATCGATGAGGTTCTTGTTGCGAAAATACCCGTACTCGTCTGTTTCCAGGTTCCCGCCGTCGACACCTCGTTCAGCAAAATCCTTCCTCTCCGCCGCCCAAATCCGATCAATCCACTCGTCTAAAAACTTGATGATGAGCTGTCTGAAATCCCTCACCAGCTCCGTCTCCCTGTTGTCGATGACCTGCACCCCCAACTCCTCCTGCTTGAACCCCAACTTCAGCATCTTCCTATAATACTTCTCCGGCCACCCCACAATCTCCAACGTGTGGCTACTGCTCGTCTCCGGGTCCTCCACGATCCCAATCAAGAAATCATGCATCATCTGGTGAAAGATCACCGCCCACGTCTTGAAAATCTTCCACTTCCTCGGCATCAGCTGCTTCTGCTCCATCCCCAACCTCACCGTGTTCAAATCATTAAAATACCACCTCAAACTCTTCTCCAACCCCCCCGGGTCCCCCATAAACTCCTGCCTGCTCTTCTCAAACTGCGGCGCCGCCGCGTCCTTGATGCACTCCAAAAACCTCTCCTTGTACCCCCTCACAGTCTTGGCCCCGTCAGTAATGCTCTGAAACCTCGTCGCAATCTCCCTATGGTCCTTCAGCGCCTCCTGCAGCGCCATAACCCTCTGATCACTCTTCTCCTCCGCCTCCACAATCAACGCAAACCTCACCACCAAACTCTCATTCTCCGCCTGCACCAACGTGATCAAACTCATAGCAATCAGCTCAATCCTCTCATCAAACACCCTCACCACCCCATCCAACCTCTCAAAATAATCCTCCAACGTCACCCTCAACCCCGGATCATCCCCCCTACTAATCTGCTCCATCGCATCATCCCTTATATTCCTCAACCTCGTCAGCTCATAATGCACCCTCAACAAATTCGGCATTGCCTCGTAATCAGCCTCGTCCTCCCTCAGCATCTCCTCCACCTCCGCCACCCTCTCCGCGAACCCCTCCAGGTTCCTCCTCATCGTCTCGACAGCGTTGAAGTTACGATGTGCTTGACTGACGAGGTTGATCGTCGCAAAGTCTGTGCCCGTGATCTGATTTTGGGATTCCGAGGCGATCTTGTCAATCTTGATCATTTCTTCCTTAATCGACTGTAGTGTTTTTTGCGAGTCGGATAGGTGCGTCATGCCGGATTGGGTTGTTTCGAGCTGATCGCGCAGGCCGGCGCGGAGCTGGGAGTCGATCAGGGACTTTTTACGGGCGAATTCGGTTTTGAGGGCCGAGAGCTTGTCGAAGAGGTCGTCTGGGTGGCGGAGGAGGGTGGGGAGGTGGACGGGGGGGATGTCCATTTTGGAGGTGTTATATGGGGGTCGATGGGAGGCGTGGTTGTTCGTCGGAGGTTATGAGAGGGGTTCGGTGTGGTGGTGGTGATGGTTCGGGGGTGGCCTGGAGGGGCTGCGCATCAATAGGGGTGGTTCGGAGGCGTCGCGGGATAATTGAATATCGTTTTGTTTGGGGTATCAGAGGCTGGCTTTCATCAGTCGTAAACGTCTTCTCACATATGCCGAGAGATGTCGTTGGTGTTGTTGTGGGGTTGTGTTGAGTTCAAGGACAAGGTATCGTTGATGTTTGGGGATCGTTCGTAGCCTTGCAGCAACTGGGACGGGGGACGAGCTTCTGGAATGCGGCTGTGGCCCGTGCGTCAAGCTCGGAATCTCGTTGAGGAGAGGCACAAGCCGAGCTTCTCAAGCTCCCAGAAACTGGCAATGTGATGTTAATTAGAGATTGAGACTAACTGTGAGATTGGGTTTGGAAATTAGCTACCCTACACTGAATAGGGCTTCAGATCAGGCTGTCGAGGAGGAACTGGTGAAGCAAGGCTGCTATATCTGGATATCCCTTCATCAACAGTAACGTCATAGCAAGCTGGCGAGCCAGAATGTGCCCTCATCGGCCTTACATCTCCGATCCCAACGGATATCAATCATAGGTCCGTCTCCAAGGGCACGCTATCCGGCTATGCCGAAGAGGCCCAAACAAGCTCCCATCTGTCATCCTCGAAGCTTGTCACAAGAAAGAGCTGTTTGTTAGACTGGATGTCAGTCGACTCTCGCCACAAGCTTCTGGTGTCAGACCAGGTCCCAAGCACATCAGTAGGTAGTTCGTTATCAGTTCGTCTCCGGTATCCCATCTCCCCCACCCTTCCATCGCCCAAATAAAACATCACCAGATCGTAGTTCAAGCCCTGATAAAAGACCAGCAGCATCGTGTAACTCTATTCGGTCTATCCACCTTCTCATCAAGGCACGTATCGTATCATATACAATTCTCTCCCCTCTTACTTCCCCTCCGATATCATCTCCCTGCCATCGTCCTTGCTTCCTAGTGGCACAAAGACCGTTTACTTCGCAGGGTGGTAAGTTTGCCAGACTGTCCTCCTTTGTCAGCGTCCATCCCCACTCCCTCAACCTCATCATCACCATCCCCAAAAATAACTCACCGGCAATACCAAAAGGCAAAGTAAACCCAACAGTGCAGTAAGTCCAGTACTTGATCGCGAATCCCTTCTTGCGGGGGTTGAAGGGAATGTTGGAAAGGGGACCCTCAGGGTAGTGGTAAGGCGACGACAGCTGGGCGCGGGTGGTCGAGAAGCCGCGGCGGGCGACCGCCTGGCGGAGGACAGGAGAAGCAAGAGTGCGGGAGGCGGCGATCATCTTCAAGAGGGGGGGGGCAAGTAAACAGCTCAGTTAGCTTCTCTGATCAACTTTGTTTCAATTGGGGTGTCGCTGTCGTGGTTGTCGTCGGGCATGTAAGAGAGAGGGACTCACTTTGACAGAGTGGAGAGAGTTTGCTGAACTATCGTCGTCAGAGGGTCGGAGAGAGATTGAAGTTCGATTGTGTTGCTCGCCTGTGACGTTCCACACTTTCTCCGGGATTGCAGTTGCGGGAGCTCGGGCCAACCGCGGAAGAACGAAAAGTGGTGTGACTTTGACGCTCACATGTGGGGATTTCTCACCCAGAGGAAACTTATGTAAGCGAACACCATCAAGGACATCAACTTCATGATACAAATTACTTGCACCAATTGGCTATTAATTCATGGTATCACATCTACCTCAAAGTAACAAGCTCCTCGGCGCTAGTCGGATGAATAGCAACACAGCTATCAAAATCAGCCTTGGTGGCCCCCATCTTCACCGCAACACCAAAGCCCTGGAGCATCTCTCCGCTGCCCAGACCCATGATGTGCAGACCAACAACCTTCTCCTCTGGCCCAGCGCAGATAAGCTTGTAGCTGGTAGGCGCCTTCTCCTCGGGCTCCATCATGGCATAGTACATGGCCGTGAAGTTGGTCTTGTAGATCTTGAGGTTCTCAGCGCCATACTTCTCCACAGCCTGGGGTTCAGTCAAGCCGATCGAGCCAACCTCGGGGTGGGAAAAGACGACCGAAGGAATATTGTCGTAATCGAGCTTGGAAGTTCTGAACTGCTCTGGCCCGAAGAGACGAGCGGCAAGCTTGCGACCGGCAGCAATGGCTACTGGGGTGAGCTCGACATGGCCGGTGACGTCGCCAAGCGCGTAGACGTTCTCGACGTTGGTGTTTTGATATTCATCAACCACAATATGGCCCTTCTCGGTGGTCTTGACGCCCGCCGCCTCAAGACCGAGACCATCGATGGCTGGTGTGCGGCCAATGGCCCAGATCAAGTGATCTACGTCCTCCAAAACGCCCTCGCCATTGGAGCCCTCGCCCTTGGAGGAGTTGTAGTGAAGCCTGAGCTTGCCGGTCTTCTCATCCTTCTCAACCTTGTTGGTCAAGCTTCTCTTGTGTACATGGATTCCGAGTCTCTCGTACTCGGCCGTGACCTTCTCCTGAATCATTGGGTCAAAGCTGCGGAGGAAGGTGTCGTAACGAATAAACAAATGTGTCTCGACACCGAGCGCGTTGAACATGCCGGCGAACTCAACAGCGATATAACCAGCGCCAACAAGCGCCACCTTCTTGGGAAGCTTGTCGATATCGAAGAAACCGTCGCTGTTGATTCCGAGCTCGGAACCAGGAATTTCTGGGGGCACATGTGGGTTACCGCCGACGGCGATCAGAATCTTCTTCGCATTGACAACCTCCTTGCTGCCATCGTCCAGGGTCACCTCGACCGAGTTCTTCGACAGAAGCTTGGCCCAGCCGTGAATGTATTCCACCTTGTCATTGGCAAGGTTGCGCTCGTAGATACCGTTGAGGCGCTTGATGTAGGCATCGCGCTTGGTCTTGAACGTTGGCCAGTCGAAAGGGGCTGTTTCTTGAACGTTGAAGCCGTAGGCCTTGGCTTGGTGGATGGTCTCGGCGATAAAGGCGGCGTTGAAAGTCACCTTTTTTGGCACACAACTGAGATGCGACGACTAGTGTCAGCCTGGTATGTGCGGCTGCATGGCATGGTAGGAGAAAGGTACGTACCCCACGTTGACACATGTGCCTCCGAGCCTCTTTCCCTCAATTACCATGGCCTTTGCGCCGTATCTCGAGGCGGCGGCTCTGGCGGCACCGAGGCCGCCGCTGCCGCCTCCGATTACGAGGAAGTCGGTTTCTTTGGAGATGGGCGCCATGTTGATCACTGTGGACGAAAAGTGTCTGGAGATGGTGCCGATGCGGCCTGATGCAACAGTTCTGGATGATAGGACCGGGCGTCTGGCCAAGATAGAGATTGCTTGCATAAGAATGAAAGGAAACTCGGGATACCGTCTTCTAGGAGGAAGAGGTATCGCGGGGTAAAAGGGAGGAGGGGGGTCTTATACAAGCGAGTTCTGGCGCAAGCAGCGGGTTGCTGACTGATGGCACGATGGAATTCCAAATCCAACGTCCGAAATCCCACTCTCACAACGGCGCAACGGTAAGATCTAAGATGCCGATACGCAGAAGTCCAAAGAAAACAAAGAAACGGCGCTCAGGTAAGCAATTGTCGATTATACATAGATACTAATTCTTTGCGACTCGGCTGCCCCCGCTCCTCCGGTTCGGCTGCGTCATTGCAGGGGTCAGTGACAAATTCCGGGCTGGGCTTCAAAAGAGATCCCTCGCCCCACTGTTTCTGACAGGGGCTGTCAACTTCACCATGCACTAACAATTATTGCCCTGAACGATGATCAAGACTCGAGGTACGTACCGATGATGAGAGCATCTCAACTCACAACTCAATCAAATCTGATGGTTTGACGACAATTGTAAGATGGGCTTACAAGGGAGACACGGGTAATGCATGGTCAATGTCCAATTTTTAATTTTCTTCCTCTTTCTTGACTTCTATTTTTTACCTTCTCGTGAGCATCTCATAAGACTCCCACCATGACAACCACCAAACTCACCCTCCCCGGCAAGCTCACCGTCGCCCAGCTCCAATCCCTCTGCTCCTCCACCGGCCTCCCCCAGGCCGGTTCCAAACCCACCATCCAACAAACCCTCCGCCAAGCAGCCCAATCCGCCCAACACATCCCCGACACCGCTCGCATACTGAGCATCGACCTCGGCCTCAAAAACTTCGCCTTCAGCCTCCTCACACCCGCCTCAAGCCCTTCAGAGAAGACACCCTTACCAACACCCCCCGATTCATCATCAGTTCCCCAGGCATTACTCCCACCCGTCACCCTCCACCACTGGAACCACCTCAACCTAACCACCCCCCTCCTCCCACAAGATGACCCAATCCAATTCACCCCCTCCTCCTTATCCTCACTAACCTACTCCCTCATCTCAACACACCTCCTCCCCTTGAAACCAACGCACATCCTCATCGAGCGCCAGCGCTTCCGCACCGGCAACGCCTCAAACATATTCGAATGGACGATCAGGGTGAACACGCTGGAATCAATGCTCCACGCCTGTTTTGCAACCCTCAAAGGGGTCGACTTATTCCATGGCAATGTCATTTCCATCTCACCAAAGACAGTAGCCGGTTACCTCTTTCCCAAAAGTGAGGCCAAGGCCGAGGGAGGGGGGAAGAGCCAAAATGCGTACCATTTGTTGAAGGCGAATAAAGTCGGTATGTTGGGGGAGTGGTTACAGCAGGGGAAACTGATAAAGCCACAGGACCAAGGGGCGGGGATGGCAAAGGGTTTTCTGGAGGCGTGGAGGGCGAAGGGGGTGAGGGGGAAGAAGAAGAGGGAGATGGAGGAGGGGGTGCTGGGAAGGGGGGTGAAGTTGGATGATTTGAGTGATTCGGTGTTGCAGGGGATGGTTTGGTTGCAGTGGCAGAGGAACTTGGAGGGGTTGAGGGGGGTGGATTTTGGGGAGGAGGAGAAGGGGGTTGCGAAGGCGATTAGCAAGGTGAAGAAAGGGACCGGGAGGATCAAGCATGTTGATGTGCATGATGAGGGGTATGGAGGGGTTGGGGTGGATGCTGTGTTGAAGGGGGGTGGTGGGAAGAAGAAATCGGGGAGGAGGAAAAAGACCGCCGTGGCTCAGGAAGTTATTGATGAAGTGGCGTTGTTGGAGACTCCAAAGAAGAGTCGTGGGCGGTCCAAGAAGGTAGAGGGGATCAAGGAGGCGGAAGATATTGGAACAGCCGGAACAGAACCGGTCAAAAAGCGGCCTGGTCGACGGAAAAAGGCGTCAGTCGAAGAAGAGAATGCTGAAGAGGTTGTGCTGGAGGCAGGTACTAAGAAAAAAAGCCGTGGTAGGCCAAGGAAAGCAGCTGTTGGTGGGAGTGACAAAGTTGAGGTGGCAGCGGCTGAGATGAAACCTTCCAGAAGAAGGTCAGCTCGAATTGAATCGAACGAGGATGATATCGTCTTGATATAAAACATAACTAGAAGACCTAATTACCATACCAAAGGATGCTGAGATGGCTCTACATGATACCGTCCCACCGTCTACCAGTCCCTTATTCCTGATCTATTTCAGGGCAATTTTCAGCCTATCTGCTAACAGTTTCTCTGGGGTGTCCGTGTGCCACTCCGTCGTTGTACGCTATACGTCTGGCCCATCATCGGCTTCTCAACCCTCATAGCCAGATTGCGCGTCCTTTGCTCTCGACCCAGACCTCGAGCCTCCATAGGACAGAAGCAAAGTTGGGCAGCGACGTGGGAGTGTTCGTGTCCGAGCTCCATGACCCCATACAAGCACTGAGGTTCGTCTTCTTCGGCAGTGAGTCTAAAATGATGGAATCGGCCCCATTGTGTGCGACGCGATGCAGCACGAAGATCTCATGTTCTGTATCAGCCTCTTTTATACATAGCCTCCCTCCGCGAGCAAACCGCTAGAACTTACTCTGTCCAGTCCACGCTTGACGTGCGCACGCGGCTCTTTGTCAGAGCTCGGATGAAGATTCATTGTCTGGCCGCGGCTCTACTCTGTTCAATCTCACTGGTAGGTTTTTGACGCCGCACACATAGGCCGCAGCTACAAAGCGAAAGTAATTACTCTTCGGCCCTTGCCATAAAAGCCATAACAGGCAAGGAGCGTCCGCAGGCACAACAAACAATAGGCGAGGCGTCTGACACGCGAATATCAGCTCACAAGATTCCCGCCCCTGCGCACGCCTCTCTGGAAAACTGCAACAGATGGACCACCATGGACACAGGGTCTTGATGTTTCTACTGTCCACAGCCTAGCGTTGCAGATTGCTCAAGCGTCATGGTGCGAGTTGCAGCACACCGAATCAAGACCATTCTTGCCCTCGCGTCCGCACGTTAGCTTTGCCCGCTCGCGCGTGTACGCGGTAGTATTTCTATCGGCCGACTGAGTTGCGTCATTCGCTTGCGGGAGTCCAAGTTTTTTTATCAAAGCTGGGATGAACTTTTAACTTTGGTTTTGCATAGCTACGACTTTTAGAATTATTTCTAACACGTTCATTTACTGGTAGTTAAACAGAGTGAAGCAAAGGAGGAAAAGGCCTTTAAAAATTCCTTCTTCAACAGAGTTCAGGGGTCAAACAATGCACACACACAACGTGACTCCTATTTCCTGAACAACATCTATTTTTTATTTCCGCACCCAGAAAGACGTAAAAGATATTGGTCATCCATACTATCAATCCACCCAGTCTCCTCCTTCCTTGCTGCTATCTCAGATATAAGAAGTGCCCCCCTCAATCAGGTCAAATGCCGCGATACCGCAGCCGACCTCCCGGAACACAGCCCTCCACAGCAATATTGTCACAGTACGGGCAGAAATGAGGTTCGCCGGGGGCTCGATGAAGGTACAGGGCTGGGCAGAATAAGGCTACTGGTTTGTAAAGTTCCGGATTGCTTCCTGGCGTCTCTGATTATGGAAGTGGTCACCTGGCGGCCGCATTGTTTGACGTGGGTATCGCGGAGCCTATTGTCGGTGCGTGGTTAAGGTGCTTTGGCTGAGGGTGGGTGCTTGTGGGCAAGAGACAGTTTGGTTCAATGCCAAGTTTTCTGATGGACTCGATCGACAGTGGAGGATGGAAAAGCAAATGTTTGGTAGGTTAAATACCTAGGCATGTGTCACATAGGTAACTGTCAAGGTAAGGTTCATCACTAGTCCCAGCTGGTTCTTCTGACATGTCCAACACCCATTACTCACAACAACAAACACAGAAAACTGGCTTATATCCACTGCCACACATCTCTGCTCCCTTTTCAGCCTTTTCTCACCTACGCAGACTCCAGCACATCAAAAACAGCCGCCACCACCATCACAAAACCCACCAACAATGTCCTTACTCGCCCAAGCCGAAATCAACTTCTACCGTCACCAAGTACAGCACAACTTCCTCTCCCAATGCAGCATCTGCCCCTTTCTGGCCACCCTCAACCTGAACCCCCCCGTTCCCTGCCCTCTATGCTGCAACATGGTCGGCTTCCTGAACCTAAACCACACAGTCGACACTCTCAAAAGACTGGTCAGAATCTCCGAGGTGTTTCACTGGCCAGAGTTTGTCGCCCACATCCACGACGCACTCGTGGCGAGAGTGACTCATTTTTTCAGGTTTGAGCCAGATGATGATGATGTTGAAGGACTTCCTCCCCATTTTAGACGTCGTGCTGTTCCCCAGACTGAACAGCAGATGATGTTGTGCCAGCAGGCGATGGTGTGGCATATCGGGAGGGATGTTGAAGTGGTGTATGATCAGGCGTTGACGAGGAGGGTGGTGTTTAGGCAGTTGGGGTGTACGGTTGGGCAGTGGGAGATGGTTGTGGGTGAGTAATCTATGAGTTGAGTGGAAGGGGGGTAGATGGATTAGCTTCGGGGTGTCAGGAGGTTGCCGAATGACGAGATGTGGTGATAGCAGACTTGGGTATCAGTCAATAGAAGACATCACTGTCACACTTGATGATTTCCCCTGGACTGGCGAAGTTGAGCCTTGTATAACTCGACGAATTATGCAATCTTGGATAACAAGAAGAATCCACTTGCAGAGATCTTATCTAGGAATTGCAAGAGCTAAACAGGCCCCTTCCGGATCAGAGTACTCCTTCCCAGCTTAACGAGAAATGTGTGCAAGCTGATACTATCAACCTCCTCCAAGTTTCGATCCTCTTCAAAGCCTGCCCACTTCTGCCCATCTCGAACGGTTCTCCGGTATTAAATACGCAACACTACAATCCCTAAGATGCCCCTCAACAACGAGGCTGAGAGTGATCACGAAGACACGATCACAAACTTCAAGGTCATTTGCATGACCTGCGCAGCTCTCGCCCGTCACTCCAAAGCTCCGCCCTGCTAACGATGTGAGATCATGGAGAGATGGGCC